CTAAGCTCTTTTTTGTTCAAAGCTAGTGATCTACCACTTTGAGCCACAGTTCTACTTCCGATTTTCTGATGGTTAATTGGAGTTAAGAGTCTCACAACTTTCCGCCCAGGCTGGCTTTGAACTGTGATCCTCAGATCTCAGCCTCCTGAGTAGCTAGGATTACAAGCATGAGCCACCAATGCCTGGCCTAATGTCTTTTCAAAGTAGGAAAAAAACCACTGGGTACCAGTGGCTCACACCTGTAATCCTAGCTACTTAGGAGGCTGTGATCTAAAGATTGTGGTGGGTTCAAAGCCAGCCTGGGCAGAAAAGTCCATAAGATTTTTTTTTTTTTTTTTGGTTATGGGGGTGGAACTCAGGCCCTGGGTGCTGTCCCTGAGCTCTTTCACTTAATGTTAGCACTCTACCACTTTGAGCCACAGTGCCACATCGGAAGTGGACCTGGAGCTCAAGTGATAAAGTGCTAGCCTGAGTTCAAGCCTTTGACTAGCACTTTTAAAAAATTAGGAAAAAGCATTATGGAGATGTTTCTAAACTTTTCCATTGTTTTAGAGTCACTAAAAGTCAAAAAGAGACAGGAGACTGATATACCTTCCTCTTGTCAGGTCTGGGAGTGAGGGGGTATTCTGATACATTCTTTTTTTTTTTTTTTTTTTTTTATTTTGTGGGTCGTGGGGCTTGAACTCTGGGCCTGGGCACTGTCCCTCAGCTCTTGAGGTCAAGGCGAGCGCTCTACCACTTGAGCTATAGCACCACTTCCGGTTTTGTGGTGGTTTATTGGAGATAGGAGTCTCACGGTCTCTCCTGCCCGGGCTGGCTTTGAACCGCGATCCTCAGATCTCAGCCTCCTGAGTAGCTAGGATTACAGGCGTGAGCCACCAGCGCCCGGCTCTGATACATTCTTGATCGATTCCCAAATCAGCTTTTCCATATTTGTTGTTTTATCTTACTTGCTAAACCAGAAAGCTTGCCTCCTGCTTTTCCTTCATCACCACACTTGTTCATTTGCCAAATGTTTCCATTCAACCCCCTAATATCTGTAGTACCTGTCCACTTTTCATCATATCCATCCCAGACCACCATCATTTTTCTCACTTGGAATTGGGACTATTAATCTCTTGCTGTCCTATGTATCTGCCAGAAAAATGTTTCTAAAGCATAAATCTGACATCTAAAGCTTTTCAAGTGGTACTGGGTGTAGTAGTATATGCTTATAATCTCAGCACCTGGAAGGCTGAGATGGGAAGATCACAGATTCAAAGCTAGCCAGTGAGATACACATGTATATACACACACACAAAGTCTCACATGCGCGAATGTGTTCGTGCACACACACACACATGCACACACACAGAGCAAGGCACTGTCTTAAAACTGTGGTAGAGGCCAGGCACTGGTGACTCACGCCTGTAATCCTAGCTACTCAGGAGGCTGAGATGTAAGGATCATGGTTCAAAGCCAGTCCAGGCAGGAAAGTCTGTGAGATTCTTATCTCCAATGAACCACTCAGAAAACTGGAAGTGGCGCTATGGCTCAAGTGGTAGAGTGCTCTGAAGAACTGAGGGACAGAGTTCAAGCCCCATGACTGACAAAACAAAAACAAATAACAAAAATAATCTGTGGTAGCTTGTTAATGCCCTTATAATAACAGTTCAACTTGTTCAGATTTGTAAGACACTCCACATTCAGGCTCATTCATCACTTTGTTCTATCTTCACCCACTACTCTCCATACAACAGTATTACTTCCTTATTTTAATTCTTGTTGAACATTAGCTCCTGCAGCATTCCCGAATTTTCTCCTCTCTGCAACTTTTAATACTCAGTAAAGTCTATTTAGAGCACATTTTTGCCCTTTTTATTGGCTGTTTTAATTTTAGAGTACTGGCATTGAACCCAGGACTTCATGCTTGCTAGGCAAGTGTTCTACCACATGAGTATCCCTTTTTTTTTGTTGTAATCTCACATCTCCACATTCTGTCACTGGGATAATAGGTATTTACCACCATACCTGGCTACTACCTTTAAAAAAAAAAAAAAAAATACCAGATTTTAAACTCAGGGCCTAGCACTTGCTGGATAGGTAGGTATTCTACCACTGACCTAGACCTCTATTAGTTAACTTATTCATCCTTCAGATCTCAAATTTCATTTTTTTAATTTTGGAGACCATCATTGACCCCCTAAGTCCCTTTATGAATCAAACTAGGCTAACATGCTACAGCAATGAGAAAACCCGGTATCTTAGTGGCTTTGCTAGCACAGTTAAGTTTAATCTTCATTCACAGTACATGTCCATCATGACTGAACTCTGTGCATCATATGTTTCTCAGAGACTTGAGCTAATTGGTAGTAGGGTCTTCATCTCACATGTGAATCCATGAGATCCAAGATAGGAGAAGTAATATGATAAACTATTGAATGAGTTAAGCAAACATCATTACTAGATCCTGTTCTGTGCTGGAGATACCCATAAACAGAGTGAAAATTGTATACACCACTGCAGTGCAGGGACAGCTAGCTGAGGAGAAGGGAATAGTGGGCAGTGATAGACAGATAAAAGAGGATGGAGCAAAGGAAAGCACTTCCACCAAAACAGTTGATCTGATCGAATATCTGCAGGCAGAAATTGTTAGTATTTAAGACAGGAAAAATGTAACAAGGAACTGAGATAGATGATGACAATGAGAATCTTTTTGTAATGGTAACTTTCTTAATTGTTATAAATACCTTTTGTTTGGTTGGCTTTTTGTTTTGTCTTAGTGTCTGTCCTAGGTCTTGAATCTCAGGGCCTGGGTGCTACCCCTCAGAGTTTTGTTTTGTTTTGAGGGGGGGGGTGGTATTTTGTTTTGTTTTTGCCAGTCCTGGTGTTGAAGTCTGGGTCTGGGTGTTGTCCCTGAGACTCTTTGTGCTTAAGGCTAGGACCCTACCACTTGAGCCATATCACTACTTCCTGCTTTTCTGAGTAATTCATTGGAGATAAAGAGCCTCACATACTTTCCTGCCCAGGCTGGCTTCGAATGTGACCCTCAGATCTCTGCTGTGAGTAGCTAGGATTACAGACATGAGCTACCAGCACCTGGTCCCCTCAGCTTTTTGTTCAAAGTTAACACTACCACTTGAAGCCACAGCTCCACTTCCAGCTTTTTTTTTTTTTTTTTTTGTGCTTAATTAGAGCTAAGAGTCTCGCAGACTTTTCTGCCCATGCTGGGTTCAAACTGTAAGGTATATTAAATAGGTAGGTTTCATTAGGTAGCTGATGAAGAGAACACCATCGTGGAGAGGGAGGGCTGAAAAGGAAAAGGGGGGGAGGGGAGAAAAGGAAGAGAGGAAGGGAAAAGGGTGACCCATCTCTGGGCCAGGACTTATCTAGGCCAGGGACAGGAAGAGGTGTGGCCAGGTGGGGGAAAGGTGTGGCCACACTGGATCTGGATGTGACCTCAGGGTCTGGGACCCTCCTAAGGTCAGATGGAAGGCATGTGATCAGACACAGCCCGGGATGTGACCTAGCAGGAGGGGAAGGTGACTGCTTCCAGGTCTGCCAGTTACCTAGGTAACAGATACTGGGCAGAAACTTAGCCAAAAGGGAGGAAGGTATCCCTGTGCAGACCTTACACAAACCATGATTCCTCAGGTCTCAGCTCAGTCTCTTGAGCAAGGATAGTAGGCACAAGCCATCAGCTCCCCACATTATTTTTTAAACTGGCTTTTTAACTTAATATGAAAAATGTTAATATTCTGAGTTTAGTTTTTAAACTTAATTTTTTTTTTGGTCAGCCCTGGGACTTGAACTCAGGGCCTGAATACTGTCCCTGAGCTTCTTTTGCTCAAGGCTAGTACTCGAACACTTGAGCCACAGCCCCATTTCTGGCATTTTCTGTTTATGTGGTGCTGAGGAATTGAACCCAGGGCTTCATGCATGGTAGGCAAGCACTCTACCACTAAGCCATATTCCCAGCCCCTTAAACTTAATTTTAAGTCTTTTGTAATTAAAAGATACCAGAAGTGCCAGAAGTGGTACTGTGGCTCAAGTGGTAGAGTGTTAGCCTTGAGCAAAAAGTAGCTCAGGGACCTTGCCCAGGCCCTGAGTTCAAGCCTCAGGACTGGTTAAAAAAAAAAAAAAAAAGATACCAAGGAATATTATGCCAGTTCAATAGGCAAGAAACAAGTGGGATTCCGAATGGAATGTACTGAGCCCCACTTTCAGTCTGGGTCAGATCCCCATCATTTACAGAAGGGATCATCTCTAAAACCATAGACACTTATATTCAACTTATACATAAACTTATTTTTCTATCTAGCTTGAAAGTGTTACATCTTTGTCAGAATAGTAGTGCTTCCTTCACTGCTTGTTTTAATCTGCATTTCTTTGGCTGTCTTAAGACAATGGACTGTTCTTATCTTCTGTCTGGTTTTTTTACATACATCTACCTGATCTTCATACAGAATTTTAACTCTTTTGTAAACTCTTACTGTTATGATTTTATTTGAGTTGATGGGATTCTTGTCTTTTAATATTATTGTTGCCTAACCAGAGTTCTTATAGATAATAAAGTGACATCCAATTTTCTTCTGCATATCTTTTATCATGCTCTGTCTAGCACTTGAATTATAGCAATGAATGCAAGGGTCTGACATAGTTAAGAGAGACCAGTATGATAAACATGATGAACTTTGTCAGTTGGCCAATAATCAGTAATTCCTTGGCATGCTCAGTTGTGACACCTGCAGCCCTTAGTGCTGAAAACAGCTTTAGCCAGTTGTCTATTCAGCCATGATCCAATTATGTTGTCATTTAACTGTTTTGGGCCTCACTTTCTTTACAAGGACCCTTTCAGCTCTAAAATGCTGTGATCTCCTAAATTCTAATTTGTTAAATTTGAAATATTGGTGTTTTGTCTGCTTTGTTTAGTATTGCTCAGTAATTAACCAAAAATAATCTTTAAAAATTGTCATAATTATAGAGGGCAGTGAGATGATGAATGTTTTTCTTTCTTCCAGATCTTTGATGATGCATACAAATCACAACTCAGTTGTGTGGTTGTGGATGACATTGAGAGATTACTCGGTGAGTCATAACTTTGGCCATTGTACTTCCTTTGCTAAGTAACAACTTACATTAAAAATTACAAAGCCAGGCACCAGTGGCTCACACCTGAAATCCTAGCTACTCAAGAGGATGAGATCTGGATCATGGTTCAAAGCCAGTACAGGCAGGAAAGTCCATGAGACTCTTATCTGTAATTAATCACAGAAAAAGCCAAAAGTAGCCCTGTGGCTCAAGGGGTAGAGTACTACTGTTGAGCAAAAAGGAACTCAAGACAGTGCCCAGGTCCAGAGTTTGAGCCCCAGAACCGGCAAAAAATAAAATAAAATTACAAAAGCTGGCCACCAGTCGCTCATGCCTGTAATCCTAGCCATTCAGGAGACTGAGATCTGAGGATCATAGTTTGAAGCCAAGCCCAAGCGGGAAAGTCTGTGAGACCCTTATCTCCAATTAACCACCACAAAACCGGAAGTGGGGCTGTGGCTGGAAGTGATAGAGCACTAGCTTTGAGTAAAAAAGCTCAGGAACAGTGTGCAGGCCCTGAGTTCAAGCCCTATGACCAATAACAACAACAAAAATTACAAGAGAGGCTGAGAGTCTACCTGAGTAGCACATTTACCTAGCATGTACAAGGCCTTGGTTTCAATCCTAAGCACTGCAGGAAAAAGAAATAGTAAGGGGAAATAATGGATGTTTTATAAATTATAGGGCAATAGAAAGAACTTTTTTACCTTTTATGGAAATACTATATCATATCTTAATCTGATATCAACAATAGTATTTATAGTTAAATGCTTGTGACCCTAACTCTACTATAATCTACTTTCTTGTAAGGGCTCTCATTATCTGCCGCAGAGTGTCCTAGCCACACTAAAAGATGAATACTTCTTAATTCTGAATACATTTGCTATTAAGTATATCTGAGATGCCCATATCTCAGAAGTCCATTTGTGAATCTCAACAGAACTAATGAAAAGAAGATTTGAGAATTGGATTTACTAAAACACTTAGAGACAGAAGTTGTAAGCTATCTATACCTGAATTTCTGCTTTTACAACACAAGTTGCTTCTTTGCTTATTAACCCACAGAGTAATTGTGACAGAATGGAATAATATGTGTCAAAAACATTCTGCAAATTAGAAGTGTTCTCCAGTAATTTCTAAAATAATTGTTAAATATCTCCCAACAAGATGCAGAGATGATTAAGGCATAGGCACTGCATTCCATTCAGAATACAGTAAACAATAAGTAAATGTCAAAAACTCTTGTTACTTTCACATTATACTCATTGTGAATTGAACCAATTTAGTATACATTTCTGTAATAATTGGCATAATGGAATGGCATTGAGACAGAAGCCACCTGATGTCTTCATGAATATCTGAGAATGCTACACTTGATTAGTCTTCCTTAAGCTATTCAGAAGAGTGTAGTAATGATTTCAACTTAACTGTTTTTCAACAGCATTTCCCCCATGATATTCAGAATTGTGTTAGGTCCTCCGTTACTTTTTTTTTTCAGTTATGGCAGTGTTTGTTATAAAGCAAAACAGGTATATCTGTTAGGCCTTCTTAAATTAATAGTTTTATCTAATAACCTGAGTTTTTGGTGTGCTGTGTTTGAACCGTCTCAGCCCAGTTTATGGGATTATTTCTTTAAAAGCTTTTAGGCACATACTTATAGCTCTGTGTAGATTCCTTTATCTAAACACAATTGAGATGTGTGGTCATAGCAACACTGCTATGGCAGGAATGTGTGCCCTCACAGTGTATTCTCTCTTGTTTGAGTAGATATTTTCTGTCTTTATTCATTCATTTAGTCTATGAGCATTTGCTGAGCCCTTACTCCTGTGCTAGAATTATTTGGATCTCAGGAGAATAAGATGCTATCCATTATAAAACTCATTAGCAAAATAGAATATCTGTGTGTTCAAGATATTCAGAAAACAGAAGGACTCCCCCCACTCCTTTTTTTTTTTTGCCAGTCCTGGGGCTTGAACCCAATGCCTGGGAACTGTTCTTGGGCTTCTTTTGCTCAAGGCTAGTACTCTACCACTTGAGCCACAGCACCACTTCTAGCTTTTTCTGTTTATGTGGTACTGAGGAGTTGAACCCAGGGCTTTATGCATGCTAGGCAAGCACTCTACCACTAAGCCGCATTCCCAGCCTGAGGGGTATCTTTTGACTTCAGAGAACTGATGCCTGCAGATAGTTCTAAGCACAGGGCTGATCACATATGCAATATACCATGAAAATTAAGGAAGTGGTATTTATGCTAAATCTTGAAGTACTGAAGTTTAACAGGTAGAGAATTAGTTCTCTTAGTTACCTGTTCTTCAGTATCAGAGGATCAGTTTCAGTGATTCTAGTATCATCAGAATTGCATTAAAATTTCTTGTATCCTTTTCCCTCTGCCCAATTTTCTAACATCAAATTTTGTTATCAATGTTATTTCTTAGAAATACTTGATAAATACATCTGGACATTTTTCCCTTTTAGAAAGAAAAACTTATCTCCAAAATCATAAAAGATGTCTATATGAACTCAAAATGGATATTTTAAAACTTTTACCAAAAATTTACAGATAGGAATTCTTATGTAATATTTTAATCTTTTAGTTCATTGGAGGAATTTTTTTCTTTGACCATAAAAAGATAATATTTACTTTTTTTTTCTTGCTAATACTGGGGATTAAACTCAGTCTTATTCTTACTAGACAGACAAGGATTCTACCACCTAAGCTACCCTGTTTGCTTTAGTTATTTTGGGGATAGAGTCTTGCATTTATGCCCACTGTCCTGGATTGAATGCTTCCTATTTACGTTTCCTGTGTAGCTGGGATGACAGTTATGAACCACCTAGTTATTGATTGAGATGGGGTCTCACTAGCTTTTTTGCTCAGGTTCATTTCCAATTTCAATCCTCCTGATCTCTACCTCCCAAGTAGCTTAGGTTATAGGCAGGAGCCACCATGCTCAGTTGATATTTATTCTTAATACCAAGAAAATCTGTATTTTGATATGTGTCTTGTGTGTATTGAATCTCTAGATATAACATTTCTCTTCCAGATTACGTCCCTATTGGCCCCCGGTTTTCTAATCTGGTATTACAGGCTCTTCTTGTGTTACTGAAAAAGGCACCTCCTCAGGTAAGAGAAGTAATGCTAAGGAAAATTCCACAGGGTTTTTTCAGTAAATTACATATAATGATGCACTCTCAGAATAAGCTGGTTATCATAAACGTAAAATTCTATTGTTGAAGGGATTCTCAACGGTCATTTGGTCTGGCCTTCAGTTTTAAGGTAAATTATTTTCCTTACTTTTTTCCTTTTGTTTTCTGAAGATACCAAAATCCTACAATTTAGTTTAATATTCATCTCATTTTATAAATTCTTCAGCACTTTCTACATTCTTACCTTTGTCCTCCCAAGAGAGCTTAATTATTAATACAGAAAATATTTAATATATGGTCTCATTTGTTTTATTTATCACTTCATGGTTTCTCTAAGAATTTGTACTTAAGGAAATTTATGTTTATAAGCATATTTTTATTTTTTTATTGATTATTGATTAATTTGGGTCCAGTCATGGGGCCTGAACTCTGGGCCTGGGCTCTGTCCCTCAGCTCTTCAGCTCATGGCTAGCACTCTACTACTTGAGCCACAGCGCCCCTTCCAGCTTTTTTTTTTCTTTTTGCTTATGTGGTGCTGGGGAATCGAACACAGGGCCTCATGCATGCCAGGCAAGCGCTCTACCACTGAGCCACTTTCCCAGCCCTAAGCATATTTTTTAAAAGCATGTACAGGTGATTTTTACTTACTTCTTGGATTCACATGTGCTTTTAAGGAATGAAGTTATAGTGGGAACCTGATTCATATGTCTGCATTTTTACTGCTGTAGCTACTAGAGACACTGATTTTGAGAGCTTAACAAATTTAAAACTAACCTATGAAGATTGATTAAGTATGTTAATTACACAGAGGCTGTATGTTTGGCTATATCATGTGACAGGCTATCCTGATTGATTCTCCCAGCTATAACCTTGAAGAAAAGCCAATCAAAGGTAGATACAAAGCCGAGCACCAATGGCTCATGCCTGTAATGCTAACTACTCAGGAAATTGGGATCTGAAGCATCCTGGTTCAAAGCCAACCCAAGCAGAAAATTTCAAGAAACTGTACCTTTGAAATAACTAGCAAACAGCAGGTCTGGAGGTATGGCTCAAGTGATACAGTATCTAACCCAACTAGTCAACTAAGAAGCTCAAAACCTTGAATTCCAGCTCCAGACCAGGAAAAAATATACATATATATTTTTTTGGTTAGTTGTGGGGCTTGAACTCTGGACCTGAGCTCTGTCCCTCAGCTCTTCAGCTCAAGACTAGTGCTCTACCACTTGAGCCACAGCACCACTTCTGGTTTTCTGGTAGTTTATTGGAGATAAGAGTTTCACGGCTTTTCCTGACCAGGCTGGCTTTAAACCATGATCCTCAGAACTCAGCATCCTGAGTAGCTAGGATTACAGGCGTGAGCCACCAGTACCCAGCTAAAGTAAGTAATTTTAAATAAATAAATAAACAAACATCACTTAAAGGACTTATTTTCTGGGCTTTGGAGTTTTTTTAACTTCTAAAGTAGGAAACATATAACAATTGATAATTTTCTATATATATGCACTATGGAATAATATTTTTTTCTAGAGCTGGGATGGAACCCAGGGCCTCATCAATGCTAGGCAAGTTAAGTGCTCGTATTTGCCATACCTCCAGCCCTTCACTTGTTTTGTTTTTGAGATGGGGTTTTTGCTATGTTGCCTATGCTGGTATTGAATTACTGCGCTCAAGTGATTCTTCCACTTCAGTCTACTGGAATTTTAATTTATACTAATTACTTCCATTTAAAAAATACATAGGGGCTGAAGGTGTGGCTCCGTTAGTAGAGCACTAGTCAGTGAAGCGAAGTGTCAGGTACCAAGTTTGAGTCCCAGTCTTGCAGTTAGGAAAAAAAAAAGAATAACCAGTACTTTTGCTTTGTGCTGGCAACTCATGTAATCATAGCTACTCAGGAGGCAGAGATCTAAGGATCGTGGTTCAAAGCTAGCCAAGGCAGGAAAGTCTATGAGACTCTTATCTCTGGTTAATCACAGAAAAAAACAGAAGTGGTAGTTTGGCTTAAGTGGTAGAGTGCTAGCCTTAAGCAAAAGGAGTTTAGGGACAGCACCTAGGCCCAGAGTTCAAGGCCTAGGACTGGCAATCAATCAATCAATCAAGTTATATAGATATATCTAAAATATATAATATATATAAATCATTTCTCCCCAGTATCTATGTATATATATCATACCCACAAAAAACATTTTTATGTAGTCAACATATTTGCAATTGGGAAAAAAATGAAGGAGGATATAACACTGTTCAAAAATAAATATACTCATTACCTGACTTATATAACATAACTTATGTAACATAACCCCTCTGTACATCACCATTAAAATAAAATTTAAATTAAAAAATCATATTTAACATTGTTACAATGGAGGACACTTCCAAGCATTTAAATTTTTGTCTTATAATATTCTGTTCTTTATCTTAAAATAATTTGTGCTAAAAGGCATTTCAGTGCTTTTAAGAAAGAATAAGTTTTTAATGCTGTGTTAAATTTCTTGACTTTTACTTGGTTAAATACTATACACAGTAGTTAAAGAGATACAGTTCCTGACTGAGAGTTATTTGTAATCCAAAATAGATACTAAAATTTTTAAAATTAAAAACAACCTGTAACATTTTGATTAAAGACTTAAAATAACTATTTTGTAAAAATGTGAGACTTGAGAGAAGGGACATTATCTTATTTTTAAATTATTTATTCTGTGTGTATGTGTGTTCACACATGCACTGATACTAGGGCTTGAACTTAGGGCCTTGAGTTCTCACTTAGCTTTTTCACTCAAGGCTGGTCATCTACCACTTGAGCCACACTTTTGCTTCTTACTGGTTAAATGGATATAAGAGTCTCTCTAATTCTAATTTGTTTCCCTGGGGTGGCTTCAAACCTGGAGCCTCAGGCCTTCTTAGTAGCTAGGATTACAGGCATGAACCATTCTTGCCCTGCTATCTTATCGTTTTTAAATCTTTCAGCATCTGGCCTAGAGATTTGTACATGTATCCTTCATGAATAGTTTGTTCACATATATATACATATATATATATATATAACTTTATATATGTAGCCTCTTTTCATTAATAGGCTTATGTGTTTTAGTATTGCTGAGTTTATATATCTGTGAATATACTAAAACCGTTGAATTGTATACATTGAGTAGATAAACTGAATGCTATATGAAATATATCCTGTTTCTTTGAGTTTAAAATTTTTTTCTAAGTAAATGCACATTTTAAAAGATGGCTTTGTAAGCCAGGCGCTGGTGGCTCACGCCTGTAATCCTGGCTACTCAGGAGGCTGAGATCTGAGGATCGCGGTTCAAAGCCAGCCCAGGCAGGAGAGACCGTGAGACTCCTATCTCCAATAAAACTACCAGAAAACCGGAAGTGGAGCTGTAGCTCAAGTGGTAGAGCGCTTGCCTTGAGCTGAAGAGCTGAGGGACAGCGCCCAGGCCCAGAGTTCAAGCCCCACAACCGACAAAAAAAAAAAAAAAAAAAGATGGCTTTGTAATCTACTTAAATTATGAAAGGAAAATTCTATGGAGAGAAGTAAGGGATGAGCATCTTAGGTACACGGCCCAACTTGGAAAGAATCTTAGAAATAACAATTAAACCATTTAAAAAAAGGAAGTGGGGTCAGTGGTTCTTACCTGTAATCCTAACAACTCAAGAGACTGAGATCTCAGTTCAGATTCAGCCTGGGTAAGAAAGTCTGAGAGATTTGTCTCCAATTAACCAGCAAAAAACCAGGAATGAAGATATGGTTCAAGCAGTAGAGTGCCAAACTTGAGCAGAGAAAATCCAAGGAGACTGGTAGGCCCTGAATTTAGGCCCCAATACCAACACACACACACACACACACACACACACACACACACACACACACACACACACACACACACACACACACACACACACACACACACACGATGTGAAATAAATTTCTTTAAAGACTGAAGAGAAAGGATATACAAATATGTAAGCAGCAGATACGCCTGGTTGCCTTAGTGATCGCAAGGATTCTCTTTTCATAGAAGACCAGCCTGTCATTAATCAGAACTTGGCAACTGACCTGGTCTGCTCATTGACCTGCTGTATAAGCAAAATTGGTGGCAGGAGAAAAGTAGTACTTGGAATATTTCTGAATGGCACTATTTAACAAAATAATAAAAAATAGGTTTCATCTGTACCACTTTGCTTTTAAAAATTAGTTTTCAAGGCTGTCAGGAATATTTGTCATTCTAAAATGGAAGAATTCACTTCACCAAACCACTGCTGCATAGATTTTTCAGATGTTTTCAATTAAATATTAAAAGTGTATGCATCTGAATATACAATGCATAGAGTGGTAGAAAACTATGGTTTTTTCATCAGCAAGGAAACAAAAGCTACGGCCATTTTTCTTTAGAAAGAACTATACATATATGCCATGCAGCAATGTTATCAGCCACAGAATCCTCAATTTTGCATTTGTTGAAATTCCAGCTTTCACACACAAAAATTGTGTGAGCATATGTGCACATGCTCAAATAAAAGAATCCCTCCAGGGGCACTATGTTGTTATGTATCAAGATATTCTCTTTTCCCCATCTGCCCCTCCCCCAACCTTCCCTTCTTGTAAATTGGCTTATTAAAACTGGTTCACAAGCCCTTCTTTTTTCCCTTTGTCATTGCCTTGCTCTTGGATTTTCAGTGTAGAACTAAAAATTCAAGTCAGATTTCAGTTACTAGGATAATTTTCTTTGAATTTTAAATTTTTTCTAAGTAAATGCATAGATTTTTAATGAACCTGGTATTCAATGGATTTGCTTTAAATTTAGCTGGAGAGTTAATTTCATGATTGATTTATTAGCCCTTCAAAAGTATAAAAAAGTGTTATCTGTAGTTCGTGAAGACTGAAAAACATCATCACATTTTGTTTAGCATCTTTTTAAAACCAATTAAAAGCTTTTCTAAAATGGATTGAACAGGAGAAAATAAAACATGTTC